TTAAAAATAAAAGTGTTTTATAAGTCATACTCTTAAATTTTTTTTAGAGAATATATTTAAAAATTTATTTTTAATTAATATTTTAGATAGGATAAAGATACGTACACCCACCGGTTCAACATCGGTGGGTGCACATATTATAAAATAAGAGTTTTTCTTGAATAAACCAAATAAATGTAAGAATAAAATTACAAATTTAACCTTCCTCTTTTTTTTCTTCCATCATCCTCTAATCACCATTTTTACCTATCATCTCCGATCTTCATCATCCTCCACCTTCATCACCAATCATTCTTCTTCATCATCAATCACCCATCTCTAATCTTCATCACCTTCATCACCGATCATTCTTCTTTCCCTCACTTCTTTCTTTCTTCTTTTTTTTTTTTTCTCTCTCTCGGTGGAGAACTCGAGCTAGGTTCTCTGAGAACCCAGCTCAGGTTCTCACCAGAGAAATTCTGATTTTTTTTTTTTTTCGGATGGATGGATTTGGTTGTTGAATGTGCTTGAATGCTTGAGTTTTCCTGGGATTTGGTTGTTGAATGTACTTGAATGCTTGAGTTTTGTTGGGATTTGTTCCGTGGGAAATAGATTTAGTGAGAATGGTAAATTTGTAATTTTACTGTTTAAACCAATTTTGGTGTAAAAATGAGTGCCGGTTCATGGGTGTACGTATCACTATCCTTTTAGATAACTAATAATTAGATTGAAAATTCTATTCATATAGATTATGAATGTCAATTTTTAGATAATTTTAATAAACTTAATTATTTTGTTGATTATATAAAATTTAACACATTTACATATATGTTAATAAATAAATTTCCTTGATCAAAGAGTTATAAATATTATATCAATATAAAAATTGGTATAGATAATTTATATAAATAAAAATTTTAATCTAACAATTAATTTTTTAAAATATTAATTAGAAAGTAAATTTTTAAATATATTTTCCAAACAAAATTATTTTAACAAAACTTTCCTTATAGATTTAAAAGTTTGCAATTATCAATGCAGCTTATATTGTGTAAATTTGGTGTCTGTGTAGTATAAAATCATCCATGACGTAGAGGAAATTTGTTCTCAATTGTATTATGGAACAGATTTAGAAAACAGTTTTATAGGACGATTACTGATAATATTTTTCTACAACTTATGTTTTAATTCGAGAACTAGCATTTGAATGTTAGTGAATTTGTTCAAGTAAATTAATTAAAAATATTAAAATACGAATTTGATCTTTAAAGTTTTTGTTTGGAATTAAATAGTCTTTAAACTTTGATTTAAAGATAATTTTTTATATAATTTTTTTGTATAATTTTACATATTATTTAATAATTAATTTTTTAA